CTATCGCTTAGGAAACAGATTAAATGAGAAACATCATTCAGTGTCGTTCTCATCTTCAGTTCACAGTATAACAAGTCTCAAACAAGGTCATTAAAATTTTTAAAAAGATACTAGCAGCAACAAATTATTTTCTAAGAAGTTAACAGAAACAGAATTTTTTTTTAAATATATATATATATATATGTGTGTGTGTGTAAAATGTCTTTATTAAAGTGTGTGTGTGTGTGGCTGTATATATATATATATATATATATATATATTTATATTTATTTATTTCTTATATGCATATTTTTTTTTTTTTTAGATTTTACACACATAATATAATACACACACATATTTATAATATATATATAACATTATTATTTCATTATTATTACTTTAAGTATTACATTATTACAACTATTTCTTTATTTTTTATATTATAAATGACAATAAAATGATTTTTAAAAAACAACCCTAGTTGCAAAACCATTTTGGTAACACTTTCCAATAGGTTAACTACATTATTTAATATAAACTAACTATGAAAAATACTTCTAAAGCATTTATTAATCTTAGTTAATGTTGATTTCAACATTTACTAATACATTATTAAAATCAAAAGTTGTATCTATTAGTTATTTAATGGACCTGAGTGAACATGAACTAACAATGAGGGTTGTATTTTTATTAACTGATGTTAACAAAGATGAATAAATACTGTTAAATACTGCTCATTGTTAATGTTAGTTAATGCATTAAATATAGTTAACAAATGGAACCTTATTGTAAAGTGTTACCACAATTGCTCATTTTACCACATACATGATGTTCGTCTCTTCATTTAAACATTTTAGTGAGAGAATATCACCACAAACCACTAAAAAACCCTTATCGCTATGCCTTATATCAAGACAGGAGGATGTCAAATATTCCCTCTTATGAAGAATTCCCAATGAGACCGGAACACAAGGCTCGTTCACGAAGGAATATCACTGAAACACCTCTGAGGATTAATGGCAATACAGGAACTGCTGTATGAAATGATGTAATTTGAGAGCAACCAAAGCGACAGCCATAAGCCACAGACCCCAGCGAAAACATCATCTGACACGGCCAGATGCTCCGCTACAGACCAACACAGACAAAGAGGGTCATAAATCAACTGTCAGTTGCAGATACCCCCCTCTCCTGAACTTATTCGTCCGCTAGTCAATACAAGCAGCCGCGCTCTGTTCAGGGGGGTCTGGGGTTAGAGGAATAAAAATGATCTTCCGGGAAGAAGCATTTGAACTCAAAGCTTTAATACACCTGAAGTTTTAGACACATAAATGGTGCTGCAGATGTGCTGAATATTTTCCATTATTTCGCTTTCACCTGTCCCGATATATGGATCCCGCTGGAGTCCAAGTTCAAGAGTGGGTGAGGGGCCCTCGAAGGATGCTGTAGACACCACGTCCCACAGGGGCCACACGGGAGAAAAACAAAGACCATCACAGCATGCAATAAACAGCATCTGACTAGATTCATAAATGAGTTAACAGCGATGTCTCGTGAATATTTAAAAAGTTAACATGTCCCAAATATGCATGCACACCAGATAACAACATACATAACTCTTAACGACTACATACCTGAATTTCATATTTATAGCTTTGTTTCTGTTCATACTTTATTGTAACATGAAGGAAACTAAGTTCCGGGTGGATGTAAACATCTATGCACGTCTATGCACATTTCATGCCTAACTAGTGGTCTTGCAACTGATTCATCAATGCATTTTTAAGAGTTTTAAACACAATCAGTGCAAAATGGATCCATATGGAATGAAGAAATGGCTAATGCACCCATTAAATGACATAAAATTGAAGTCTCAAATATATCAAAAGTTATCATGTCCCAAATATACATGCACACCCGATAACAGCAAACTTAACAACTCTCAAGACTACAGACTTAATGTAAGCTGACAGTGCTTCCTCTGAATTTCATATTTATAGCTTTTCTTGTGTTATAGCAGGAGGAAGAATAAACAGCTTCACAAATAACATCTATGTGCATTTTATGACTTGCAACCCATTAATCAATGCATATTTAGTTTTAAAACAATCATTGCAAAATGCAAAAGAACTATATGGAATGGGGGAAACAATTACTAATGCAACTGTTAAATTACACATATTTACAAATAAAACTGAAGTATGCATGCGTACCAGTAGCAACAAACTTAACAACTACTAAGCTAAGAATATTTGATCTGAATTTCATATTTATAGCTTTGCTTCTGTTGTGAAATGAGGCAAAATAACTTACGGGCGGATGTTTTGTGAGCAAAGAGCTTCACCTATGCTCATAATCAATGCATTTTTAAGCATTTTAAACACAATGAATGCAATCTGCAAAATGCATCCATATGGAATGAGCCAAATGACCAATGCAACTGTTATATGGCACATATTTACACATAAAACTGAATAAAATGTGCACTTAAGATTCCGTAGACATTTTTGCTTACCCTCACAAGCATTAGGTATCAATAAATAGCTTCCACAAACAAAAAATCACATACTGGATGTGGAATTGGCCACAAAAGGTTCAATAACACAATATTCTTTAGCTTCCACCCACATGCGAGCCTGTTTTGAGATGAAAGATGCGTCGCATTAAATATGACTTGAACTGTCACAGGCTGCAGGTGAGCACATCAATAACCTGAACCAGGTGTGACCTAGACTAACTCCAGAAACAAAGAAAAACTCTGATGTGCAAATGTGTGTGATTCATATATCGAGCCCAGCAGATTCATGGGAAATAACACAGCACTGTGTGCTCTTCGCTGGTGCGGATTTTAACTGTTTAACTCAAAGCTGATTAAACAATGCTAATAAAAAGAGCTGTCATTTAACAACTTGCTCAGTATTTAAAACAAAAAGATCAACTAATTCACAAAACCTCTTTGTCCTCCTGTCCTCTTAAGGCCACTGTAGGCAATGTGAGCGATACCAAACAAACGTTCAATATTTAGATTAGCAATCGATCGATGTGTTTGTCAATGACTAATTCTTACACTTTAACATCCGGTTACTCTTATGATTTATCAGTCTAGCAGAAATATTCAGAGCACAGTCCAGACAATAACCATCTGATATTTGTCCAGATAAGCCCTCCATGAAAACATGTTTGCTCTCCCTGTCCATGAACAGGTTCAGGGTTTGGATAACCTCAGTATGGACGTGTCGTCTGTCTGTATTCAGAATAAACCAAAAACATGAGAGACCCTCCAACAACAGCCTACACAAGCAGCCCTTCTTTGGAAAGGCTTGAATAACAATCGGCCACACACACAAACACACACACACGCAGACAGATCTGATTCCTCTCCGGCTTGGCTTGGCATGCTCTTGTCATTTCTTATGTTACAGAACATCAATCATAGGGCTGAGCCTGTGCCCTAGCACTGGCCGAGGCTGATTTACAAACATTAGCAGGGAATGCAATTACACAGTCCGAGAAGCGCGAACAGTCAGTGAGCATTCTGGGTTTGACGCGTCGCAAGCGGTGTGGATGGAGCGTACACACTGTGGTTGGAACGAAACCGGAGTGTGTGTTTAAATACATCTGATACATAGTAGCTATTGTGTGCAGCAATATTGCACATGGAAATACTAACAATAGCAAGGGGTCAATTATTAAATTTTTCCATTTAAATATTCGAAAATATTTTCTGTATTCTATATCAATATTTTAAAACTATATATATATATATATATACACACATATATATATATATACACAT